AACGAGGTGGGACCCGTCCCCAGCGCATCCCCCGGCGCAAGAGACACCCGGGCCTGCCCGCGGCGGGAGGACGGGGGCCCGGCGCCCGCCGTCTTCACCGGCTGCTTCCACGCTTACCGCAACGAGGTGCTGAAACCCGTCAGCTGTCACCCGCTCTGGGGGTATTTCTCCAGCTTGAAGGATTTTTTAGAGCCGCCCTCCGCCTTCCCGGTGCGAGGCGAGGAGCAGGAGCAGCCCCAAGACCTGCGGAACAAAGCGGGGCAGGGGTGGAGCGGGGAGAGCCGGGGAGCCGCGGTCAAAGCCTGTTGGGTGCCCCCCGGGGCCGGTTTCGCCCCCGCCGCGCCCAGGGCAAGGGGCAAGCGTGGCCGCGAGGAGGAGACCGTTTTCGGCCCCGGCGCCAAGTTACGGGCCGTTTCCCCCTTCCTCAAGGAAGCCGATGGCAGGGACACGGGTGCTGGCTCGCCCGGCAGCCAGCAAGGGCTGGCCAAACCCAAAGCGGTGGTGGCCAGCCCGGGCTACGCCACGCCGCTGCCGCAAGCCCCGGACGTTTACAAGGGAGCGATGGTGCGTTTCCCGGTGAGCTTCGGCAACCCGCTGGAGCACCTCAAATCCCAAGGGGTGCCGGCGGCGCCGTCCCTCTCCGTCAACCCTTTCGTCATCCCCGCTTTTCCCAGCCCTTTGATAGCCACTTCCACGCAGCCCTCCGATCTGTGCCGGCCGCTGGCGACCGGCCCTGGCCACTACCCAGCCTCCTACGAGAGCTCGCTGCGACACCGGCTCTACCCGGCGGCGACGTGGCACAGCCAAGCCACCTACGCCTCCCCGCACGCACCGGCCTTCCACCGCCACGCCAAGCTGTAGAGTTGCCATCGCGCTCCGGATCAGCCTCGATGCCTGCGGAGGAGGGAGACGGTCGGGATGCTGCCGTGGCTCGAACCGGGCGACGAGGCGCGTGCCAGTGCCGGTCACCGCTTCGGAGCCTGCAGCCAAGGACTGAGAGGAGACAATCCGGACCGTGTCGTTTT